AAGTCGTCCTGACATAATGTTTAGTGTGTGTTTATGTGCTCGCTTCCAAGAAAATCCAAAGGAGTCACATTTCACGGCTGTCAAAAGGATCATGAAATATCTCAAGGGAACATCAAACATCGACCTATGGTATCCAAAAGGTAGTGTTTGTACTTTAATTGGTTATTCTGACGCGAATTATACAGGATGTAAAACTGATCGAAAAAGTACCAGTGGAACCTGTCACATCCTTGGAAATGCATTGGTTTCGTGGTCATGCAAGAAACAAGCATGTGTTACTCTCAGTACGGCAGAAGTAGAATACATAGCGGCGGGAAGCTGTTGTGCGCAAAATCTGTGGCTAAAGCAACAATTAAGCGACTATGGAATTGATCTTGGATGCATTCCTCTTCGATGCGACAACACAAGTGCAATTAACATCACAAAAAATCCAGTCATGCACTCAAGAACCAAACACGTCGACATCCGACATCATTTCCTCCGCGATCACGTGCTTAAAGGAGATGTCGAAGTTACCTTCGTGGATACGCATAACCAACTCGCAGACATTTTCACAAAACCACTCGCAAAAGAACTGTTCTTCAAGATTCGACGAGAACTCGGAATTCTCGATGAAGGTGACATCTAATCTCTTCTTAAGTTAATGTGTGTATATTGTATGTTTTCAAACTTGTCTGCATTCTGTTTTTAAACATTTTTCAAAATTTTGCATGTGTTAACCGATTAACCTATAGGGTTAACCGATTAACACTGTTAATTTTTCAATTCTAAGTTAATTTTTTAATGTGTTAACCGATTAACCCCTAGGGTTAACCGATTAACACTGTTACTTTTTATTCAAAAAATTAAATTTTTTAATGTGTTAACCGATTAACCTATATGGTTAACCGATTAACACTGTTAATTTTTCAACAAAAAAAAATCAGAAACGAAAAATTAATTAAAATTTTAGTTAAATGTGTGTTTAATATGTTTTATGTGTGGTCAATATATCTTTTAAATATCCCAACACTATCCTTGGAACTCTTCTTCTTCTTTGACTACAAGAGTTTTTGGACTTCCAACTTCAAACCCTAATACTTAAAACCCACTTTAACCTCTTCATCTCACAAAACCCTAAAACCCCAAATCTCTCAGAAGCTCCATCTCTTCAAATGGCTCCCAACAACAAAGGCAAGGGAAATTACCGGAACACAACTCTGCATCTGATGAAGACAATACTCCATTGGAAACCACAAAGAAGCGTAGAATGGATTTCAAGGTCCGGGTTCGTCATCTCTTCCCGGTAAAGTACGTTAACTTCAACGTATTTCCGGCTTCTACTTTTGATTTCCTAGCTCTGTTAAAATTTCAAAAGATTGATAAATTTGTGGCTGACAATGGAAAATGCTACCCCGATTTGGTCAAATCCTTTATGAATAAGCTGTCTGTTTATTTGAATGTTGATGATGAACATATAGTGGAAACTTCTGTTCGGAACTGTGAATTGAAGGAAAATATGTCTGATATTGCTGCTAGATTAGGAATATCATCCAAAGGATTTTTTTCTTAGGAAAGGAGTCAACCATGTGGAAGGTCCATGGGAAAAATACGATAAGATGGAATACTATTATCATATCTTCCGGTTTCCAAAAGAATTTATTATTGCAAACCAAAGGACTGCTCGCACACTATACTATGCGAAAAATATAACGGTTAATGTTCGAATGTTGCACTATGTTATCTCTTATGTTCTGACTCCGAAAGACTCAAAACATTCTCAGGTTAATGATTTGGAGATGCAACTGTTGTTTGCAATCAAGAACAAGATAAAAGTAAATTGGATTCTCACTATAATGTATCATCTGCAACAACAACAACTCTGTGTCAACAAGGCTTCCGTATGCACGGTTGATTTCAAGAATACTTGAGTTAACGGATTTGGACCTCAACCGTGAACCTGCTACCAAAATGAAACCAACAACAAATGAAATCAATGAGATCACTATTGTCAAAAACACCGGCATCATCAAAGACACCGACGGTATTTACAAGTACGCCGACGAAGGCTCCTCAGCTTCCAACCAATCCTATCCCATTCCCGAAGGAGGAATAACAAATGAGTTTCTCTACATAACAATGATGAACCATCACCGCAAAACCTCTCGAGCCATTACCTTTCTCCGTAACCTTGTGCTTAATTCTCAACATTCAAACACAGGAAACATTGAAGAAGAGGATGAAGAAGAGGATGGTAGTGAAGAAGAGGAAGATGAAAATGAGGATATGTCGGATGAGGATATTTAGAAAATATTTGCTACTGTGTTATTGCTCTTTCTAGACTATGATTCTGTTTCGTTTTCATTTGTGTACTCGTACAATGTTTTGTTTCTTTTCAATCAAGTTATGTCTTTTTCTATGATAATTGTTTGTGCTTGTTATGTCTGTTATGAATGATTGTTTGCTATTATCTTTAAATGTCCCTCTTCCTTTTTGCTAATGACAAAGGGGGAGAAAGATTGTGGTTCTAACATTTTCCTATGAAGAAAAAGTGTTATTCCTCTTGAATTTAGGGGGAGATTCAACTTAGGGGGAGAAATGTTGTGAATCAAGTATCAAAGCAAGATCTTCAAAGAAACGGTTGTCATCATCAAAAAGGGGGAGATTGTAGAATCAAGATTCAAAAGCCTCTATTGTTTTGATGAAGACAACTCATATCAGCTTAGCTCGCAAGATACTATATACCCATGCGGGTATATACACTGAAGATAAAATCTGAAGCATCTCTATTCTGAACACTTCACAAAAAGCAAGAGGTGCAAGCATATCAACAAGTATAAATTATCGAGATCAAGGCACAGTCACATATGTCGATATGGATCAAGTTTCATCTATCAAGTTTCAAGTGGTGTTGAAGATTCAAGACACGGTATAACATTGTTTACTTAGAATTATGTATGCAAGTGTTCTTTAATCTCACCTCACTACACCACTAACACAAACCATTTTAAAACTCTTTTAAAATACTCTTGATATTTTTAAATTAAGTATTTTTGAAAAAACTTTCAGTGTAAACCGATTAACACAAGTTAAAATTATAATTTTGGGACTTTTCAACAGTGTTAACCGATTAACCAGATGAGTTAACCGATTAACACATGAAAAATTCAAATATTTTGTACGTTGGAAAGGTGTTAACCGATTAACCTATTTGGTTAACCGATTAACACTGAAACAACAGCCAAAAATAGCAACTTTTCATGGAGGATTGCATTGTTATCTATTATTCTTACTGGCTATTTTTCTGTCCCATAATCATACCTTTTTGGAAAGGTTTTTCACTTCTATAAATTGGTTTCTTTTTCAAAATCAAATTCACCTTCAAGAAACAAATTTCAAAAATTACACTTTGTCTTCAACCTTTTGAATTTTCATAAAAGTGTTCAAATATTTTTGAAAGAAGTCATTGAAATTAATTTTCACATCTTCACAGTTTTCTTTCACAAAAAGGAACACTTGTATATTATTTCTGAGTAATCTTTGTTTCGAGAAGAAGATCAATATTTCATATTGATATACATTCAGATTGTTACTTATATACAAATTCAGAATTGACTACAACTTATTCTTAGAATTATAAAAGATAAGTTTGTAGGGTTTTCCTTGTGATCCGGATTGTGGATACAAGAGGTCCTTGTGTGAGATATTCATTCTCGGTAGGACTTAAAAATTGTGTAAATCCAAAACGAGTGTTCTTGGTTGTTAGGATTGTCTTGTGTAGAAATCTAACATTAATAGTAAAATTCTCTTTCATGTTGAAAGGGGAGTGAAGTACTCTCGGATTGTGAAGGGAACCACTATAAATCGCTGTGTCCTTTACCTTCTGCATTTTACTGCTTTTCATCATCTAGAAAAACTTAAAGAAGTAAAATCCAAAAATCATCAAAAAACCGGAAAAAATGTCTAAAACCTACAATAGAAGTTAATTCTTTAACCGCAGTGTGTTTCATCAATTGAGTAAGTTTTTTGCCCATCCAAAAAAAGTCAATATAGGGTATCCCCCTAATATAGACTCTGTTATAAGTGGTGAAAGTTAAAATACCAATTTTGACATGTTATACCTCTCACATTCTTACCTGCATTTCCTTTCAAAAGAATCATACAGTACGATGTCTCTACCAAATTTACCATCAAAGCCACGGTATCGCTGATATTGACCTCGAATGGGAGTTGAGAACATTTAATTATCATTGAATTATTGAGACACTTGCAAGGCATTCTACATTCCAAAGTACCTCAAAAATAGCCACCACACCAATTACATTGTATGAGATGCTGCAAAACACACTCCACCACCAAAATTTGACTTTGAAAGACGCAACTAAACCATCAATATTGATTTTGAAACTCAAATACACCACCCTAGCCTTTTTCACAAATATGTCCACGTATTTTTACGACCATCATCTTCTCTTAATCATTTTAAATACCCAGTCAAGTCTTATCCCACGGATCACCTAGATCAACTTTCATTATAATGTTCTATCCAAAATCAGACTTCCGTCCAAATCATTTTACAGTGTTTATCAAAAAAAAAAGAAAAGGAAAAATAGAATACAACTCACCCTGCTACAGCCGGTTGGATAAGGATCCAGGTCTCAACAGGATACATACTAGAGGGTAACCCAGATTTGGCAAAGGGATTTTGTCAACCAAAATTGGTTTGAAACTGAACATCTCATACAATTCATAGTTGAAATTCAAACATCATTTCCTCTACTATTTCATCCACATAATCGCCAACATAGTTACCATCGAACATCCATCCAATTACACAAATGAAATATCCACTGCTGAACTATATCAAAATTAATACTTCATCTAAATAGATAATCCAGAAATCAGAATAGAATAATATGAAAAAACAACTACAACCAACTCGACAGGTGCAAACGAAACAAACCAGATTACTTGCGGAAATTATTACAGGGTTTTTCACTTTGGGTCAAATTTCTGTGTTCTTACTCTATCTGATGATTACCAGACTCACTGCCATTTCTTAAGCTCGGTTCTTCATAATCATTGCTACTCTTATTGTCCTTGTTACCAGAATCTTCAACTTCTTTCTCCCTGTTCCATTGTTCTATTCTAGCTCTCCTTTCTACACTACTTTCTCTTTCTCTGATGGGGTTTGGACTCCTATCCCTGCCAGCTGGACTTCTACTTCTTTTTCCTCTATGACGAGGACTACGGCTTCTTGGCCTCCTACCATGGTGGCCATGAGGCCTGTCAAGGTCCCTTCTACCAGAACCACGACCAGAATATGAACGCCCCTCATAGTTACGATTCCTTGGTGGGCTCCGGCTTCTGCTTCCACTACGGTCATTCCATGACCGCCTACTTCTTCCAAATAACCGCTTCCTCAAATCTCTGAAATTAAATGAAAGGATTTAACAAAAAAAGAACAGTATAAATGCAATGCAACAGTAAAATAATCGGAAAAAAAAGAGAGAATAGAACTATGCTGAGAAGTTAACCTGCTAATTTTCTTTAGATGCATAAAGTTGCAGTAGCCACCTCGATTGCATACATTTTCCTCGTACTGCCTACAAGTAGCTTCTCGAAAATCCGTAACAGGCGAGAAGTCAACAATGATTGGTCGACCTATAAGAATCAGCGAGTCAAATTACATTGCCATTAATTACCCGGGATGTCGGTGAGTGAGGGGAGCATCATGCAATGATAGAAAATGTTTGGATTTTTGTAAGCATTACATGATGCGACATTAATTATCTAATATATCTCAATGTCCTGCTCGCAATAATTATCACAAATTTGTGTACTTAGAAGTATGGATAATACAAAACCCTCATCTCATGCCACGCAATACCTAACTCTGTAGCAATATTAGAACCGTTTACTTTGTTAAAACATTTAACAAAATGCTAGCGACGGATGAGAGGAGTTTCATTATATAATAGCATCTCAATTATGTCAGTGTGCATATTTATTGAGGTGCTACAAATGATAGGTGGTAGATTTGAGGTGCCAACATAATTGAGATGCTATTACTGCCATATGAAGCCTTTGCACATATTATTTGCTCTAAAGAAAACAGGGGCCTGTTTACTTTGTGAAATATTATTTACTTTCATTTCTAAAATGTTAATAAGAGAAAACAGACTCTTGAAAAGAGCGCTAGTCTTGCATTTCTTGAAACGATGAAAATGACAAGCACTCTTTTCATTATTTCTAGAAGTTTATTATCCCTGACTAACTAGTATTTTATCTTCTCTACATCACCATTATTCACTTCCAATGTCTTCCATTTTCTTATTAGCAAACAAACTCATTCTAAAAGATGAAAACCGAAAATGCTTTACAGGCCCTAAAACTAACATATTTATAGGATAAGAAAATTAAAAACATGACATTTAATTTATTTGAAAAAAACAAGCTACTGCCACGGGAACACCAAAGGAACATAGGACTGCACCACCCCCATCCCTAAAAACAACTAAATTCAAAACCAGTAAATACAACATTGGACCAAAGAAGATATACTCAATGAAAATAAGAACAACCACGTGACAGAAACAATGTAACTAACCACAGAGCACCTGATCAAAAGACATTTCAACAAACAAAGCCTAAATACTCGCAAAATGAGTAAACGAAGGGTCAATATAAGTGGGTACAGCAAGGTAAACATAGAGCCCTAATGCCAAACCAGTTGAATATCTAAATCTATTGAACTGCAACTAATATGAATATCAAACATCTTAACCTATCGACTTAGCTGACAAAAACATCAAAACAGCTTTATTATTATCATTATATTATTACGGATTCGTAGACGTAGCTTAACAACTCGTGGGACAACATAATTAAAGCCTATCCATATGAACAATAAATAACAGCAATAGTGCATCGAGTCATATACACAAATTTTAACTTCAAACCCTAAAAAATGAAGAACCTGAGTAAAATCTTCCAGTGAGATTCATTAGGGCATTAGCAGCATGGTCTTCCTCTTTATACTGAACATATACATTGCCAACCTAAAAAAACAAAAACAAAATCACCATCATAAAAATTACGGTTACAAAATTGAAACATACAGATAAATAATTTATACAAACCATGTGATCAGCCAAATTGTCACAAATATTCAAGCTCTGAATTTGCCCATACTTGCTAAGCTCCTCAAACAGATCTTCATAAAAATCCTAAAAAACGGAAAAAGAGATTTTTAAAAAATTGAAAAATCAAAAATGAAATTAAAATCAGCGAGAAGATGAAAACTACATCGAAGTGTTCTTGAAGCTTATCAGGGTCGAGTGATTCCGGCTGAGGCTGCTGAGGCGGTTGAGGTTGCTGAGGCTGATTAGGGGTAGGGTTGATGAAGTTGAGATTCATATCAGGTCTCTGATACATGTTGGAGAGAACGAGAGTGGGACTAATGGTGGGCTTAGTGTGAAGCCTAGAACAGCGGTCGCCGTGTCTGCAAGCTCCGATCTTGAAGTAGAAAGGGCAGTTAACTCTGTCTTTCTCGGTTCCGAAGATCGATGCCAAATGCTCCGCCATCTCTGGCTTAGGGTTTCGGTCTCTTCACCGCTCTCACTAGTTTGTTTGTTCGTTCGTTCCCCTTTTTCTTTTCCTTCAATTTATGTTGTATTTTTTCACTATCATTATTTTTCACCTTTTATATTAGGGGTTATCTTTTATATTTATATATATATATATATATATATATATATATATATATATATATATATATATATATATATATATATATATATATATATATATATATGAATAGGTGAATGTGTAAAGTCATCTAAATCTAAGATTAGTATACTCTAATATATTTTTGAGATGAAATACGAACAAATAATAATTTTTTATTTAAAAGAAAATTGTAAGAGTATTTTCTTTTTGAGGATTAATCTTTTCACTCGTATGTTTTACTTTCACATCATCCTAAAAAAATTTTTTACCAATTTTTTTTTACCAATTCTCATATCAAATTGAAAAGATATTCTTGTATGCTAAAATGTAATCTGAAAATGCATTTTCATATGTGTAAAAAATGTGTATGAAGTTGCATCTCTGCAAACACCATTTATTAAACATTTGTGGGTGGTTCGGAGATGCATTTTCGGACGTTTTTCTTTTATTTAAGCATCAATGGAGTTCTTTCTCCTTTTTTCCAGCATTTCATAGCATTCAAGTTGCTCCTTCTCGTAAATCAATTTTATTTGGTAACTTTTTCAAGTTTGTTTTCTTTTTATGCTAGAATGTGCATTAAGGTTTTTTGGGTCTGTTAGGGCAAAATTGGTGTATTTGCCATGGCTGAGACAATCAGAGGTGTGTCCGAATTTGCTATGCATTGTTTTTGGAGACACATCTCTGGATTGAACTTAGACTAAAAAATAGGTGATTTTGTTGAATTTGTGGATTTCTCCATACATGTTATTTATATATGTCTTTGTTTCTAACGCATATACAATGGTTGAAAATAACATTGGTCGGATTAGGCTCGGGTGTGTGTTCCAAACTGCATTTGTACGACGTGAGAGGATCATAGCGAGGATCACGAGGCCACGAGTTATTGATAACTCATTTTATGGTACATCTACTTTGCATCTCCAAGGTTCCCACCCATCTGGTTCTTGTAGTCGACTCTCTCATACCTCACAAGCAGCAGAACCTGAAGTTCCTAAAGTCCATGTAGACCTTGAAGCCCATGAAGCACAGAAGGAAGTTGATGGCGATCCAAATGCCCCCATTAGAGAGTTATTCAGGAGGCCCATTTGATACCTCCTTACTTCGTCTTTATGCAGTCCATGTTGCTAGGCATGTCTGGCACGGAGAGGTATATTTCTTTTCCTTTGTAATACAAATGTTGTCGACTAATTAAATCTATATGTATGGTTATATTTTCTTTTGATATGTGATTTTTTGAAATTTCTTAACCACGACATGAAGATTTTGGATTTGCCACAACCCACTGCTACTTGGTTCGTTGATGTTATCTGTTGATGTTATGTTCTTCAGCTTACATGACCATAAACCACATCATGCTTGCGGCTTTTATTGAGAGGTGGCATTCAGAGACGTCATATTTCCACCTACCTATAAACGAGATAACCATTTCCTTGGATGACATCTTATGCCTCATGCATCTTCCCATCAGGGAAGATTATTGGACTAAGGGAGGATCAGACAAGAGGAATTGGTAGATTTGATGGTCACCCATTTGGGTGTTGACCCTAGTAAGGCCGCCAAGGAGGCAGCTCACGCTAGAGGTGCTCATGCACGATTTAGTTTTTTGGAAAATCTTTATAAAGACCATTTATAGGGGGCTGGATGTCATAGGCGATGGTATGCAGGTTGAGTACCACCGATATTGCGCATCAAAATGTTATTTATGGTTCCTAGTTGGCACGTCCATGTTTTTGGACAAAAGTGCAACCTATTTCGATGTGGTCTACCTTAAGTACTTCACTAACTTGATTGTAACTCACATGTACAATTAGAGGGTCGCCTGTTTGGTCTACCTGTACTTTAAGATGAGCGAGAGTTATCTTTGGAAGACAAAGTAGATGACAGGAAGTTGCACGCTTCTTACAGTAATTTCTTGTTACTAATATTGTATCAAAACCATTTATTGTTATTAATTTTATGATTCATTTGTTATGTTTGTTATTAATATTGTATTTGAATCATTTGCAGGGATGGATCATCTCCCACTTCCCTCACATCATCGAATGGGAAGTTGCGTCTACATACAATGAAAATTGGCCACGTGCAGTCGCTTTTGTACCGCACATAGGGAATGGTGTGGTCGAGTCATTCAGAGTCTCTCTTCACTGTACGGTCCATATGATATTTGCTTCTACCCCTACGAGGGTCACCTTCAGTCGCTTCAGTTTGACGTCATTTTCTTATACTCCTAATGGATGGCATATGGATCATCTATTACGTATCCATATTTGCTTGAGCGAGTGAGAGTCACCTGGTACCAGAGGAGTATCGCAGAGGGCCAGCTCCTGTAACTGGGATATTGTTAAGGACTACTTGACATGGTTCTATAGGGTGTTACACCTTATCATGATGTCAACCACTCTTGGAGGATTGCCTAGGTCAACTAACCAAGAGGTACTTAGGGTTCTGAATGATCAGGCAGAGAGCATGACGGCGGTCTATCGACATGTTGTAGAGATGGGTAGAGCATCCATAAAGTCAGAACTCTTTAAGAATGGAAATCCTCAAGTGTTCCTCGTGGCGCGCATGGTTGTCGAGTTACGCCATGTCGTGCAGTATGGGAAGAGGAGGAGACAGGGGTTTAAACATACCTAGTAGTTAGTTTATGTTTGGATGTATTACTTTTTAGTATTTTCGAACAAATTTTATGCATGGTCTTAATTTTTTGAATTAATGTACGGCTTTTTGCTTTCATTTAACTTTAATGTAACTTCAATTTACTTTGATTTTACTTTACTTTCACTTTAATATAAGTTGACCTCAAAAAATTATAATGTTAGGACAATGTTAATGATCTAAATGATTCAGGGGGTTATTCGGAGATTCATATCTGGATACACCCAAATATTATATGGAGATGCATCTCTGGACCATAATTTTTTTTAACTAGGGTGAAACTCAGAAAATAAAAGGTTGGCATAATTTTAGGAGCGTCCAGAGATGTATCTCCGAACACATGAATGCTAGTTTCAGATTTTCAAAGGTGTGGTATACATATGTAAGAATGGAAAAAGTATTTCCCATTTTCTCACTTGAATTGGTTGTATCTTTGAACGAGCTATGAAGTAAAAGTAAAATAATGTATAGTAAATACAAAAAATTGAAAAAAGGTTTATGATATTTTAATAAAATGTCATAACACACTTGGAATGTATTGTAAAATTTTAAGAGTAAAAAACAAATTTCTTAAAAAACAAATTTTTGAATATTTTAAAGTACGAAAATATTTTTTAAGAATTTCATGCTAACATCATATATAGAATAAATTAGTTATGGGATTTGGTGATTAGTGGTTCCTATCTTTGGCCATTTGTTGAAGTTAATGGCATTGGTTTTTAGGGGGGATTCTGCTTTTTTTTTTGTATAGATGATGTATCCCAATTATGTTGCATGGCTTTATTATGTATGTGTCAGGCTCCTGCTAGGTCAACATATATAGTTATTGGTTCTCATATATATTAAGGTACTTTATCTTCATATGGACATGGGGAGGTTGTGGTGTCTAAAGTTGTTGAGAAATGTCTTTATATGACGTAGTTGTAAACGCTTTTATACAAGATCACCAAAATTGCAGATCTATTGTTTGGGCATCTCTCTCTTATCGAAAGAACACCATGAGTCTACGTAACCCCAAGGGTGGTTACTACTTAGTTGAAAGCTAGTGGTTCGAAACCAGTATAAGGTAACCATATTTCTTTCTTCAATACCTTTTTTCCAATGAGCTTAGCGTAAATTGTAACACCCCCTTTCTATACCCCAAATAAAATAGATAAATCAATTAGGCACTTAAAAAAAATTTATTTCATCAGAGTTTAATTAAGACATGGTATAAAAGAGGCGCATCACATTATCATGAAATTAAACACATACGATACCTGCTCAAAATAGATATGCAACAATGGGTAACCCACATCTCAATATTTAGAATAAAGCGGAAACATCCAAATATTGAATCGATATCATTCATAAAAGTATCTATAACCATTAGTTAATTCATGCTTTACAACATATCCACAGCAGATACATAGACATATGTATCACAAAAGAATCAAAACAAATGTAACTCCAAAAGAGTCAAAGACTTCCTAACTACCCAGATGTTACATATCAGAGCCATTGACCAAAAGAATGAAGACATCGCTTCACAAAAAGAACCTCCAGCTTCCTACTCTGCAATGCCTCATAGGGCATTATAAAACAGCAGAAGGGTGAGAAACAACATCATAACAGTTAATGCATAAAATTGTATATATACATATACTCATATTGGTACAAGCTATACTCAAATTATGTTCTCACCACATTAAGCATATACAAATAATCATGTCTCTACACATACACATGAACATTCACTATATTTCCTCCAAACAATCACATATAACATACACAGTTATATTCACACAACCAATGCATCATACACAGATGACTCATGCAACTCATAGAGACCGACACACGACCCTATGCAGATGCAAATGCGGTACCGACTCATTCAACAAATTCCCTAAGGAATCGAGTATTCAGCAGATCCTCCACGGGATCAAGTACTCAGCAGATTCTCCACGGAATCAAATATTCATCAGATTCTCCACGGAATCGAATATTCAGCAGATCCTCCACGGGATCAAGTACTCAGCAGATTCTCCACGGAATCAAATACTCTAACCAATCCTCCACGGGATTACATGACATGACCGATTCTCCAAGGAATCACACAATGCAACCGATTCTCCAAGGAATCAAATATAACCATCGTACCATACGAGGTTCTGCAAATCCTCCGAGGGATCAATCGACACAAAAATGCATACTATGCTCAC